GGGGCCAGGCATTTGTGATTTAACATACAATCTCTATAATCTACCCACGTTTTGTAAGTGCTGCCTTCTTAATCAATGATTTATTAAATAGGTACAATATATTTACACATACACCAACTGATTGATTAAACAATGATGCATTGCTTGACCTGGAGCCGACTCAAGTTATGAAAAATGTCATTTTATTCGTGCCTGGCTGTAAAAATAACAAGGCTTCCATCAGTGGACAGTGACTTACCTACAATAATGACGGAATAATCCACTGTACGACAACTGGGCCATAGAGCCAAGCATTTGTGATGATAATCTCGATTTATCATCTTCCTTATGGGAGCTTCGTTCTTCGTCATCAAAGTAACCAACTAATTAATAGTAATCCAAATCTTTCTTCCAGCTGGTGATGTTGCGTCAGAACAGATTCGATCTAACATTAGTATGACACATACTCCTTAAATTCTAAGCATGCATTTCATCTGAACGCACAGTCGCTCCCAACAAAGCACTGCACAGGAATACCAACCTGCTGCTACAGCAATCACTGTGTCTTGACTATATGATTCCTGACAAAGAGGTAGAAATAAAAGGATGCTCGCTAGTATAAGAGCAACATGGAAGTCGTTACTCGTGTCTCTACATCCATTAGCGATTTCTATCAAATAATTAAAGACCTGATCTGGACTCTTCCTTTGCTGAAATACTTTTATCTCGCACCAAACCCGTCATGACCATCGCTGCCTGTTATCGTCTGAAACACTAAACAGCAATACTTCTGAACAAATCCAAGAATAGAGGCTATGGGCCGGGAATCTAAAGAATACTGTACCTTTCGAAAAAGGTCACAAAAAAAGACGGCTAAAGTGAAGGCAAAATGAATGAGGATAGGTATAATTCAAAGAAATGAAACAATTGAAAATCTAGAGCATAAATCAAACTTCAAAGAGCAGAAAACAAAAATAGTTTTAAATCAATATGGTGAGAGAGTTGTTGAAGAAAGGGTTGTAGCAAATTTACTTAATAATATTATTACTCAGATTGCAAAGTTGCTGATAGAGAAGCTGCCTTCTCCTTCTGGTACATATACCATACTTCATGCAATGCAACATTTTTAGCATCTTTTTATATTCTAATGTTTACACTTTACTTTTTTATTCGTTTTATTTATCGTTCAAATAACTGTGTTTTCTGTCCAGTGTTTAAGTGAAGAACAATTCAGGATGTAAATCCCCTTCTTGGGAATTAGGGTGTTATCTCTGATACTCCGGGATTTTATTAACTTTTATATTCATGTCGTTCTAAAGTTGTGTAATGTATGTACTATTTAATGTAACGCGTAATCGTAAATAGCCTATTATATTTCTGTTTTTTATTATTTTAATTCCCTTTCATGGAGACAGCCACAGATGTATTGTTTCCGGGCTTCCAAACAGAGATAGGGTAATCTTATGTATCTTGTCTCATGCAAGTACTTCATTCACACTGTCCCTCTTCGCTCAGGACTATAGCATCACTTATGACCCCATTAGAACTAAGTGGCTATTTTTAGTGTTTCGTATTTCAACCATTGTAGAATACTTTCCGGAGAGCTATATTTATCATAAGTTTTTTTTTTATTTTTTATAAGTTTTTGTTGTATATGTAGTCTTATTGTTTAAGTGGATATTTGTCCTTGACGGTATTGTACTAACAATTAAAATTGAAAAAATTTAATTCATTTCCTACCATAAAATATCGTTGCTAAAACTTGTCTCATTCCTTTGACAAAAAAAAACTGTTGTATGACCATATATAGTCATGAAGTGCCTATATATGGTCATGATGTGATGTCATCATGACCATATTTAGGCATGTCACATGTTTTTGTCAAATAAAATTTGATAGTCTGGACAGGGCTTAAAAAGGGGGTCATAGAGTGATGCCATATTTTTTTTTTTTTTTTTCAAAACTCATCAGTTCCGGAGATAGACAACCAAAAGCTTTTAAATAATGTTTGAAAATAATATATTAAGAGTTAGAATTAATGGCATTAAGCAGGGACGTATCCAGGGGGGAGCCGTGGGAGCCGCGGCTCCCCCCCCCCCCTTTGTACACAGTGTTAAAATTTTAAAGCTTATTCTTGAGCCAATACAAATTCTTTCCTGGGATCACTCAAAATGAATACTTCTAAACTTGTAAATATGCATCAGTACACGTTATACATAGGCATAATAGAACACATAGGCCTAAAATTAAAAAAAAATCTTAAATCCATAAATCTCAAGCCAGGTCTTTTAAGATAGAAATGCGATACTGTGGTTCAATTTCGTTTTTATCCTTTTGCAAGTTTCTTTAATTGTTTGTTTAATAATACTACTACTAATAGTAATAATAATAATAATAACATTGATGATGATGACAATAGGAATAATTGATATTAATATTAATACTGTAACAATAAAAAGTGAAGAAAATTGTGCTAAATGCGAAAAAAGTTGTGATTTGTTGATCATACTATAGTATATATAGTTAAAGCTTAGTAAGCTATAATTAGGCCTAAGTTGTCCTGGATATTAAGTAGATCCCTGATTAAAGATCATGAGAAATTTGTTGGCGTTTCATTTTGACTATAATGGTAATGTGATGATGATGAAT